TATATATTTCCTCAAAGATGCAAGAGTTGGTTTTTTTTTTTTTGCAAGGTTTTTTAACGATTTATTTATTTTCCTGGGGATGAGAGATCCACAGAGAAAAGAGACAGAAAGATCTTCTATCCACTGGTTCACTCTCCAAATGGCCTCAATGCCCACAGCTGGAGTGATCCAAAGGCAAGAGCCAAGAGCTTCCTCTGGGCCTCCCATATATGTGCAGGTCCCAAGGATTGGGCCATCCTCCACTGCTTTCCCAGGCCACAAGCAGCGAACTGAAAGGCAAGTGAAGCAGCTGGGAAACAAACCAACACCCATACAGGATGCCACACTGGGAGGTGGAGGATTAGCCAGTTGATCTATTGCTCCAGCCCCCAAAATGCAATCTTTTAAGAATGCAGATGGAAATAGAAATTCTGATTAGCTCCATATATTTAATAAATGACAAATGCATATTAACTTTAATGAATAACAAATTCCAGAGTAACTCAGCTCCTATTTCATTTTAAAAAAATCTTCTATTTATCTCAAGGACAGGAACACAGACAGAAATCGATCTTTCATCTGTAGGTTCACTCCCTAAATGTCTGCAACAGATGGGGGTAGGGCAGGCTGCAGTCAGAAGCCCAGGACTCATTTCAGGTCTCTGACCTGGGGCACACAGATCCAAGTATTCAGCTAATGCCTACTACTCCAAGAGTGCACATTAAGAAAAAGCTGGCATCATAAATAGAGTCCAAAACTCAATCTGAGACACTCTCATATGTGTGTGGGTATCTTAAAAGGGATCTTAAATACTGAGCCAAATACCACCCCATAGATTTATTTGAAATTTCTCCAGAGATAACGACCTACATAATTTCAAACATGACGTTTACAAAACGCTTTAAAAAAAAAAAGAAATTACAACCCAAGAAAATATCTTTTCAGGAAACATAAGATCAAACGCTTTCTAATTCATTTTAGCAGAATAAGCTGGCACTGTGACAAAGTGGGTTAAGCCACTACCTGGTATGCTGGCATTCCACATAGGCACTGGTTTGAGACCTGGATGCTTTGCTTGCAAAGCAGCTAACATGTCTGGGAAAGCAACAGAGTATGGCATAAGTCCTGCACCCACGTGGGAGACCTGTAGGGTTCCAGGATCCTGCTTTTGGCCTAGCCCAGCATCAGCCATAGCAGTCAAAAACAGAGGTGTCATTTAGGAAATAAACCAAGGGATGGAAGATTCAATTCTCTGTCTCTCTGTCCCTCTCTTCAAATGAATAAATCTTTCAGAAAAAAGAGAGAAACTAACATAACTCTGACTTCAAAGCTTAGTAAGAAAAAAAAAAATAGTTAGAGTCAGTCCTAATGCAGCTTAAAGAAAAATAAAAAATAAAAAAAAAACTTACTAATAATTAACCAAATCCAAAAAGTGTAAAAACAACATATGAATCACTAGGTTTTTCTTTTCTCATTTGTGTATCTGCTCCATTGTTGTTGGTTTAAGCTCCCTTGTGTTTTACTGGCTCCCTTAAACATTTCCTGCTGCGAATGCTTAGTGAGGATGGGTTCCTTCAATTTTGGCAAGCCATGGAAAGTTCCTTTTCCAATTCTGAAGGAAAGCTCTGCTAGGTATAGTATTCTTGCAGGCATCTGATTTTCCACATAGGACTTTTAAATATTTAATTCCATTTTCTCCTGGCCTGAAAGATTTCAGCTAAAAAGTTTTCCATTAATCTAGTGGAGATTCTCTTATAAAAAGCTACATGACACTTTATCCTGCTATTTTTAGAGTTTTCTCTTTGTCTTCAACTTTGGAGAGTCTAACGATAACATGGCTCAGAAAAAGTTAGTTTTGGTTAAATTCATGGAGTCCGTAGAGGCTTCTGGAAACTTGATGTCCGTATCTTTCCAAACATTGTTAAAGTTTTCAGCAATTATTTCACCAAACAGGTTTCCTTTCTTTGTATCTAGAAAATCCACAATACACATGAAGGCATTCTTAACGTTTTGTTTGTTTGTTTGTTTGGGGTTTTTTGGCGATGAAGGGGGTAGATGCTGACTGGGTCATTTCAAAATATTTGTATTCAAACACAGAAATTCTATATTCTACATGTTGAATTCTGTTCAGGCTCTTACTGTATGTTTAATTTACTGAGTTATTTAGCTTTAAATTTTCTGTTTGGTTCATTTTTATAAATTCTTTCCTCTAGCTGAATTTTTCATTCATATCACAAAAAACTGCCTTGTTAATGTGATTAACTGTCTAATTTTCTCACATTTCATTGTTTTCCATACAAATCATCAATGTATTAATTTCCATTTCTGAATAGTGCTCCACTGGAGGTAATCATGTTTCTTTTTATTCTTCTTGTGCCCCATTACTGATTTGTGTGCACCTGCTAGCTGTTTCCACCAATTTCATAACATAGTTTTCACAGTAAACGACTTTGTTCTGGTGATGCATCCTGAAATGCTGGTGACATGGCAATAGCTTCACTTCCAGGTGGACATTTTAGTGTAGTGTCTATGTAGCTTTCGCAACTGTGATAAATATCAGGGGTGGCTGTGGTTGTCTCAGTGACCTCAGCCCCAGGGCTTAGGACTGCTGAAATAGAGCTCTCTTAAGTGGGGCAATTTTGTTGGCAGCTCTGAGCTTCGTGCACTGGCTGTGGATGTGGGGTGTTTGTCAGTTACTTCAGGCCACATTAGGCAGCGAGCACCTGTAAAATTCCAGGCAAGTGTATCAGCATCCCCGGTAGCCAGAGGTGTGTGTGTGTGGAGGGCCGCCTCTTAGTTTTGAGACCTGAGTGCTTAACTTCAGAGGGTCTCCAGGGACTGACCGACTCACTCAAGGAGATCTGCCCAGCTCTTTCCTGGGGCTACGAGTTTTTTAATATGCTTTCATCTATTTCCTGCCAGGATAATATGATGCACATAGGAGACACATCACAGAAAATTCAGGAAAACAGTACACAAAATTGTATAATAACAATATCATCTCAACTATATAAAAAATGCACCCGAAAGAAACTAGAAGACAATATCATAAAATGGTAACCTAAGATGATGGCATTATGAGTGGTTACTTTGATTCTTAGTACCTTTCTGTATTCTGCAAATTGCACTACACTCATTTGAAGAGAATTTAAATGTCAAAACAAAACACAATATAATGCTTAGAGAAACTGATCAATTGAATATAACATGAGGTAACGAGTCTCATCTCCAAATAAAACTCACCCTCCAAAAAAGCCTGCTAAAATATAACTGAAAGAACTCAAATACAGATTTGTAGTACAAGCAATGTCAGATAAAATGAAAATAATATCACTTAAAGCAAATTTACATACTCCTCACCTAGCGAGTCATGCAGTGCAGGGCTCAGAGGGTTTTCCAGCACACTGGGGTCTCAGCCCTCTCCTTGCCTTTCTATCCCAATACATGGAGGTAGAAGGAAGGCAGGACTTACAATCCAGGCCAATCAAGACTGGCAGCAATTCATAACTGTTGAACTATCAAGATCACTTGAGCAAGACCCATGGAACATGCCCCACATCGGGGACCTGGGATGTGTGGGAGACTGGATGTGGCTTCTCCCTTTACCTCCCCCTTTACCCCAGATATAGGAAAAAATGTGTGGAAGTGATGGTCTTGCCCACCTTCCTGTAGCCCTTGAAGCTCTGTGCCCTAATTAACTATGTCAAGATGATCAAAGATATAATAAAAAATGGAAAAAAAAATCCAAGTCAACGTGTGGATTAAAATTAGTAATCAAACTTATCCTGGGTTTAAACACCGAACATTTACAGATTCTGTGCCCTTAATTCACACGGTAAATGAGTTCCAGAAATGCCTTTCTATGGAAGACAAAACACACGAGAGAACAGCCCAACCACAGGACTGACTGCCACAAGCAATTCTTTTGTGTCTTCTGTCACCAAAGAAATTGAGGAAGGATGGTGAGGTGATGGTACTGATGTCAGCATTCCGCTCACTGACTCTGCGTTCTCTCTTTCTTACTTTATATTTACCATCACCCAATACAAAAACACATCAATAGCAACCTCCTTTTGCTCTCCAGGTCAGCATCTTAAAACTTTCAGTTTTATTGTAGTAAGACATTTGGAAATAATCTAAATATGTAATATTAGTTAAATAAAGAAAAAAATTTAAAACCCACTGCATAAAGTACTATGCAACCATTAACAATGCTATGAAAGGGACTTTGTCTACAACAATACGAATGTACATAATATCAATGAGTTGTACACTTATTATTAAAATAATAAATTTTACATTATATATTTTACCATAACAAAAATGCATAACATTAGGAAAGAGTTTCCAATATTTTGTTTTCTTTTTACGGTGAAAACATTATAATATGAGGAACTACTGGAAACAAATCCTAAAACAATGTAAATAAATGATTCCATTGGTTCACTGTATATAATCTACAAAAACAATAAATATCTTAGATCTTCCAGATAGAATCACTACCAACCTCCCAATATAACGCAAGAAAGGTATAGTGATTAGATACAAAGATGGGTCTCTATTAATCTCAGCCTCTGTCTAAATTCTCTACCCATTCAATACAAGCAAATAATGTCTCTTATTTTCTTTACCTGTTAAACTATTTTCTTAATCTTACATCTAATAAGACTAAGGATTTGAATGATAAATTACTTTTTTAAAAAGCGTGTAGCTAGATGATGGTAAAAGCAGCATTTACATCTAAGCTCAGTTAACCCCAAAGATCATTGTCTTAACCACTCTGATAACATCTCACATTTTATAGGTACAATTAAAATATCGCCACATAAAATCAAACCTAGATTTGATTAAAAGTTACCTTCAGTAATTCTGTCAATTGGTATCCCCATGCTCTATTTTAGTGTCTAACAGATGGTAAACAGGACTAACAACTCCTTTTATAACACATAATCTAAAACTTCTGTGTAAATTATCTTGCAAAGTTTAACCAAAAGCAAAAAAATATAGTTGCAAATACTTACCAAAAACTGCAAAATGCACTCCCAATTCATTTAAAATGGGAATCATATGCTTTCCTTTTGTTATCGTACTTAAAACGGAAGGATTTAAGCAGTCACCACTGAAAATCAAAAGTGGATTCAGGATATTGAAATTCTTCACAGCTGTTGCAAATCTAAAACAATAAAAAAAAATGATGTGCTGTAATTTCATGCCTTCATCCAAAACAAACCATTGTAAATTATCAACGTGAGGACTTTAAAAATTAGGAAAACTAGAATGAGATCACTGCCTATAGCCAACATACCTCAACCTTTCAATACGCCTGTACTCTAAAAAAACACACTGAACAAGAAATTTCTTAAGTCAATCGTGTTTTCCATTCAAATATCAAAAAATTACACCACAAAGATGTCTGCAAGTCGTAATTTGAAACCGCGCTCTAAAGCACATAAGAAAGCTATGCAAAAAAATACAACTTTTTCAATAAAAATTACCTCTCCCAGGAGCAATATGATAGATTTGTCTGACGTCTTACTAGGTTCTTTAAATTAAATTTATTGCATCGAGTTTGATGTAAGATAATTTCTCTCTGTAGTCTTGTAATCTAATGTTCCAAGAGTAAACCAATCTCCTCAGCCTCATTACTAAATACTTCCTTCGTCCTAGTCACATCCCCCTGTTCTCCATTGAAATCTAAGGACAGGATTGACTCTGCGAGCTCTTCTCGGGGACAGGTGGTCACTCCCTGATGCCCATAGTGCATAGGGCAAGGAGTGAAGAGACTGAGACAGGCACTCCTTCACGCAGTTTCCCACCTTTCAAAGCCTCAAAGTACCTGAGTCTACCACTCTCCATGCCAGTGAGGCTAGACACAGACCTTGCACAGCCTCAACTTTGGGACAGTATGGATATTTGATTTCCCACATTCATGTGATAGATACCTCTTCCTTTACTCCATATTCTGCCTTCATCACTTGAACACTGCGTCCAAGTCTTGCTTGGTACCGCCACCTCATTCTACTGTAGCAATTTATCACCATTTCTAGATTACCATCATTTTAAAAGCTCAAATCTTTGCAACTATGTATTCTTCAAAATACACTTTATAGTCACATGTGCTCATATATCTAAAACATCTGTTAGTGCAGTAACTTTAACACTAAAAAATTCTTTTCTGAGCCAATCTAGAAAACTCACTAGTTCCCCAGGACTCATTTTAAAGCCTGCTAGCTTTGAAAAGATCTTTCTGCCACATTCCAACTACCAGCATCACTACGCTTGTGTTTTGGGTCCATCATAAAACAACAGCTACTTAAACAACAGCACTATGATATGCCAGCAGTCAATCTGATCACCAAAACAGCGCCTAAGTCACAAATAGGTGAGTACAGAGCATGAATATGAAAGACAAAAGAATAATTTATTCCATCCCACTGAAAGTGAGATGGTGCAAAATCTCATCAGAAAACTTGGACTGTCACATTACTTTAAAACATGAGCATTTCTGACATTTGCAAGTTAATATTTTGGGGTTGAAACTGTCCACAGGTAATAGGGAGTCTTAGAAATTGAGCCATGGTCAAGGTGGGCCTATTGTATGTTTATCTTTTACAAATCTTATTCACTCGACTCAATCTATATTTGTACATGATTCTCAAATTAAAATGTCAGGTTGCTCACCAAATATTTGGCAAATATCAAAAATAATGCCATAAAACTGTAACAAATATTCTACACACTTGATGTTAAAACATCTTGAGCTATGAGATTTCTGATCTCAGATAGAATGTTGTAGATTTTCGCAGACCACACGTCCACTTCAACAAACAAACCAACAAAAAGTCTGATCTCACACAACGAAGAAAATAAACACAAGTAAGTGATCTGAAATTTCAGAAAGTGGAACAACTCTCTAAAGTAAGCAAGCTGCCATTGTCTTCTTCACTGGAAATTAGTCTCAATTATATAGTACAGCTGAAAGCAAAGGACTGAATTTAGTTCATAGAGAGAACTCAGTAGAGCAACTCCCTACGGGGAAAAACAGGATCACTGCAGAGAGCAAACAGGATGGGTGTGATAATTCGGAAAACTTTTAGAGTCTTTAAATGTGTGGCTGATATGACAATACATAATAAACGTTTGCCACATTCTAGTGTGTTCTGAATTTGTGGGGAATTTCTACATAACAGAACAGAATTCCCTCTGGTCTCACTTCTCATGAAATTCAACTACAGGAATGATGGCTGCCTGATCTGTTACTAGCAACAGGGTACGAGGCCACACAACAGAGTTCTAAAGAAAAGACTGAATGTGCCAATATTCCAAGGCTAATGTTGTAAAGATCAAATGGGATCTAAATCCACAACAAAAAGTTCAGACAGAAAAAGTATGAGGCAGAAAGAAAATCAAAGGCAGAATTTTACTAAAGCTGCAACAGAAATGGACTATGCTGACAGGACTTGCAGGATAGGTACGACAGAAGAAATGGAAATCCATTTCTATAAAACAGAAATTCTCGCCTAGAATGATAGTTTCTTAACATATAATGTGTGATATGAAATTTAAAAGCCTATTAGACATGTGGAAAGAGATATAAAAAACATGTCCAATACTCAAAAATTGAAAAAAAAAAAAAAAAGCTGTATGTTTCCTGGTGCTTAAGGTTCCAGTTAAGATGCTCACCACGCCATAGCAGAGTGTTTCTTGAGTTCAACTACCAGATATGGTTCCTGATTCCAACTTCCTACAAATACTGCTGCCAGGAAGTAGAAACAGTGATGGCATAAGAAGCCAGTTTCCTGCCTGTACCTGGGACACTTAAGACTGGATTCTCAGCTCCAAATCTTGGACCTCCAGGCATTCAGGAACTGAATCCATAAATGGGAGTTTCTGTATCTGCTACCATTCCTCCCCCAAATAAATAAATGGACTCCACCAGTGTTTCTTCCTGCCTTAGGCAACACATGTCACAACCGAGTCCCACACACACCCTAACCAAGCCTCAGGCCAGCACTACTTGGACTGCAAGCCATTCCCCTGTTACCACAACAGCCAGGGAGAACCAAGTACTTCAGCTTTAATTCAGACCAGTATAACTATGATTTCAGTCACAGTGGGCAGAGGCCCAGCACTTTCAAGAACCCCAGGCCCGCCCATTGGACTGCCACCAGAATCCACAGAGCTGTGACGGGACTGAATGGATGGAAAATACACCACGGCATCGAACTGGAACCAAAACTAAAATGACATCTTCAAGCAGCAGTCTTTGATCATGAAAGGCACTGTTTAAAAGTGACAGAAAAAGTCACTACCAGATGTGCCAATATCAGTGTAGGAACACAGTAAAAATGAAAAGCGAAGGCAACACGAGCACCTAGAACACAAGTATGCTTCAGTAACAAATCCCAAAGGTAACAAGACTGATGAAACGCCAAGAACAAATTCAAAAGAATGACTAAGGGAATACTCAAGGAGATAAAGGAGAATACAGAGTTTAAACATATTAGCAAATAAGTGCATGAAATGCACCAGAGACAGAGATCCTGAGAAAAGAACCAAATGGCTATCTTGAAAACAAAGGACTTAATGAATCAAATTAAAAGCAACAGTTGAAAAATCTCAAAACCTGATCATACCAAGAAGACAGAACAACTGAGTTTAAATATAAAGTATAGTCAAGGGAAGGGAAGGGAAAGCAAGGGAGGGATAAAGACAGTTTCTAGGTCATCATTAACTAAACGAGTATTCAAATATTTGAAGTACAGGGAAAAAAAGGTAGAAAGCCTGTTCACTGAAATGACCATTGAAAACTTTCCTGATCATGGGAAAGATACGGAAATCTATATAAAAGACTAGTACCACCCCAAGCAGACATGATCAGAGAAGACTGCCATCTCAATAAGTTACAGTAAAACTGTCAAAACACAACAGGAAGAGAACATGCTACAGACTATCAGAGAGAAGGCCAACATACACCGAAGGGACTGTTACAGGACTCACAGGTTGTTCAGCACAAGCTTTGCAGTCCAGGGCGGGAAGCGAATAACATTCAAGTTCCAAAGTTTAAAAAAAAAAAACAAAAAATGCCAACCCAGAATGCAGCTCCCAGCAAAGCTACCCTTCAGAAATAAAGAATTTGTAAAACAAACAAAAACTGAGAGAATTCAACGCCACACTTCAGGCTTATAAAAGATGCCTAAGGGATTCCTAAAACCAGACGAAAATGGAAAAGAATCAACATCATGAAACACATTAGGAGACAATAAACATGTAAACCCCATTTGAAGTGCATATACACAAGAGAAAAACAGGGGAAAAAATGAAACCTTGCCAACACAGGACATTACCAAATCAAAAAGATGAAAATAAGAGATATTCAAAACAAACAGAAACAAAAGCAACAAAATTGCAGGATTAAGTCTTGCTTTGTCAGTAATAACCTACGATATGAATGGAGCAAATTCCTCAATTAAAAGACACAAACTAGCAGAGTAGATAAAACATGATCCAATTATAAGCTTCCTACAAGAAACTCACTTTACCAGTAAAAACACACACTCTATGCAAATGTGACCAAAAAGAAACCAAAAGTAAGCAATAACTATGCTTACATGGTAAAAAATACACCTTGATAGAAAAATCATGCATTGTTGGTGGGAATGCAAATTAATATAACCATTAATATGAAATTTCTCAAAAAAATAAACATCTAGTATATGACCTATTTCACTTCTAAGTATGCATATGAGTATGCATCTGAAGAAAACAGAAATTAAATCACCATACCAAAGACAGGCTTGCATCAAAGGGGTCCACTAATGAGTGATTATATAAAAAGATATTTATACACACACACATACATGTAGAGACACATATGCACAAGCATGCTTACACACACACACACGCACACACTGTAATACTAGTCAGCCCTTTGAACAAGAATGAAGTCATTGCAATAAAATTGCTCGAACTAGAGTGATGTAAGCCAGACACAGAAAGACAAACACTATTATACTTTCTCACTTGTGAAAGTTAAATGATGTTGCTCCGATGATAGGAAAAATTAGTCTACATGTGAGGAAGGATGAGATACAGGTAGCTGGCTGTCATGCACCAAACAGTGACAAAGAAGTAAGAAGATCTACACCAATGTAGGGTGATTACAGCTCAGAG